AGAAGAATATGAGTAGCCAAGAGAGATAAGGGCAGTGGACAATTTCGAAAACCACTGTCTGCTAGCATGCTTCAGGCCATATAATGACTTATGCAATTTGCAAACTTTGTTGGTCGAAGAAGTGCAAACTTTGTTGATCGAAGAAGTGCAAACTTCGTTGGTCGAAGAAGTGCAAACTTCGTTGGTCGAAGAAGTGCAAACTTCGTTGGTCGAAGAAGTGCAAACTTCGTTGGTCGAAGAAGCAGGGGGCAGGAATCCAGGAGGCAGATCCATATACACTTCCTCATGTAGATCACCATGAAGGAAGGCATTGTTGACGTCGAGTTGTTCCAAGTGCCAATTCTTAATGGCAGCCACTGAGAGAAGGGTTCAAATAGAAGTAAGCTTCGCAGCAGGTGAGAAAGTGTCGAAATAATCCACACCCTCCAGCTGAGTATATCCTTTTTCTACCAAACGGGCCTTGTATCGTTCGATGGATCCATCAACATGATGCTTGATTTTGTAGACCCATTTGCAACCAATCGATTGTTTGCCTGCAGGCAAATCAACAACAGACCAAGTATTTGTAGATTCAAGAGCATCTAACTCAGATTTCATAGCATTGTTCCAACAATCAAACTTGCAGGCTTGTTTATAGGTTTTGGGTTCTGTGAAAGAGCTTATGGACAGACAAAATAATTTGTGATCAGGACTACATTGGCTATAAGATAATACAGAAGAGAGAGGGTAGTTAGAGGAACCTGAGTCAGATGCTGGCAGCATGGGGGATAGCAAATTGCAGTGATAATCAGATAGATAAGCTGGAGGTTTAATATTTCGATTGGATTTTCTGGTTGGCACAGGAGGGGAGGGGCAAGGGGAGTTGTTAGTGTCATTTGAGGAAGAAGAGAGGTTAGTGGAAGAATCTGGCTGGGGGAGAGAGGTAGGAGAGCAAGGTTCATTTGATGGTGGAGGTGAGATGGGTGGATTATTTGCATCATGTAATAGTAAAATACCAAAGTCAATGGATAAATATCCCAAGCTAAAGAAGTATGATGGGAAATAAGACCCCGATGAGCATGTAAAACTCGATGATGAATGTTTGAACTACTTCCACATTGATGAAGCTCCCAAGTGCACACTATTTTTACTAAATCTGATAGGATCCTTCAAACTATGTACAAAACTTTTCCAGATGGGAGCATTGAGTTATGGATTGACCCGCGCGTGAGCTTCATCGTTCATTTTTGCAGCCAAACAGAGGCAGCCAGTGACAATAACCTCCATAAGAGGGATGGCACAAGGAAATAAAGAGAGCTTATGGTCATATATCGACTATTTTAAGCAAGTATTTATGGAAGTAGAAGGAGCTGAAGAGGGCCTCAAATGTTAAATATTTTAGAATGACATGTTACAAGATAGTTCCTTCAGGAAGAATCTGGGGCATAGGGAGGCCATTAATGTGAAAGAGCTTCTGAATAGAGAACAAAACTTCATCAACCTAAAAAAGAAACTTAAAACCTAATTCGGCAACTCAGCTGCGATAAATGAAAATTCTAGCCGACCGTGCGGGAAAGACTCCAATAAGAAGAGTAATGAATCTGAATGCAGAACCTATGGATGATATGATAAGTACACTCTTTAAACACATCCAGAGAGAGGATATACTAGGAGTGTGCCAAAATGAAATTCTGGGGGACCGGAATCAGAAACCCCTTTGGTGTTAGGGAATCTTCTAGAATTAACAAGACAAAATATTATCGCTTTCATAAGGGCCATGGCCATACCACCAATGAATGCATCCACCTGAAGGATGTCATCAAGGGTGAAATTCTAGTATTCAGATCTCAGATGTCCTAAGAGATGTCGAGACACTGATCTCTAAACAAAAACATAATGACAAGGTATAACAATTAAATAGTGCAGAAAAATAAAGGGACACACCAAATTGTTAACCCCGTTTGGTGTACAACAACACCCATATCTGGGGGCTACCAAGCCAGGAATGAAATCCACTAAATAGTATCAATTCAAAGCTAAACTCCACCATTTACAACTTCTCACTTAATCACTACTCGTGTTGTACTTCTACCTAAGACACACTTAGGTATGGGACCCCTCTCACTTCCCTTTCAATCACAAACAGTGACAAGAACATAATTCAAAAGACTTTAGAAGACAAAATTCAAAAACACACAATCACTCAATACTTAGAAGCTTAAGAGTGATTGATAAAACTTACGACTCAATAAGAGACAATCCCACTCTTCTATCAAAGTGATATTAGAGAGGCTCACAATAAACAAAACATCCTAATACATTCACTAAGGCTCAGTGTTCAATCAACATACAAGAACCCCCAAAATCACATTCTACAACGCTATAAAATACACTACAGTTCTCCACTTGTATTAGGATTGAAGCCTTCCTTTTATAACCTTGAATGAACTGGATTTCGGCTTTAAAAACACAGAAAATCAGCTGCTAAAATTTTTCAGAAACTTCTGCATAAAAATAAGACTTCAATAAAGTTTCCTAAATTAACTCCATAATTAGAAAATAAGAATACTCCTTGAATTAAACTTGAACTCTTAATCCTTAAATTGAGCGTCACATAGGATATCATAATATTTTCAGAATATTTTGCATATGTAATAAACTAAAAACATCCAATTGTATACAATCACGATGTCGAAAGATTCAACACATGACATCACATTCGACATGTTGCTCCAGTTGATAGAACATCTTATTTCAACATGTTTATGCTAAGTTAGTTTTACCAAACATAATGACAATCACAAAAAATAGAGAATTAACAAAGGGTTTAATCAAGAGGGGATTCTTATCCGAGTATACCAGGGGCAAGAAGAGAGAAATAGAAGAATATCTGAAGAGCAAGTTCCCATCCAAAACGGTGAACGTTGTGAATAATGGTGAAGGGACCAACAATGAAGATAAAGGGGCCAGTAAGGGGAAGTGCCAACATATTGATTCCATCACTAGTGGAGCACTTTGAGCAAACTTTCCATTGAAGGGGCGATGAAGAGGAAGGTTGTTAAACTAATGATCGTCCATAAGGAAGATGTAAGCACCCCAACCAAAACTCCAGATAGAAAAATGCTCAAATTTCATGACAAACAAGAAAATTAGAGAGACTCTAAACGAAATATTCTCTCTAGGCATAACCTCCTTAATCAGGAACTTCAACGTGTCACAAATACTTATCAATAGCGGAAGTTCCTAGGATATCATGTATTTAAAGTTGTTTGAGAAGATGTGTCTCAAGAAAGAAAATTTGTGGCCATATGAAGGCTCGTACTCGCAAGCATTCAACAACACGACCATTCGCCAGTGGGGTTCGTAGAGCTAATGATATCTGTGGGGGAAAGAAGGGATATCAGGCCCGTGGACTCACAATTACTTGTAGTCTCCTGCAAAAGCATCTAAAGTGCATCCTCAGAAGACCCTTCACATTGGACCTTGACGTTGTCGCCTCACCGATCCACCTCAAATTAAAATTTCACAACCTTCACAATGAGCCAATCACGGTTAATGATGACCTCGAAGAACCTAAAAGGATCTACCAGGTGCTGCATCAGGACCAAGGGAAGTGCAGGGTCATGGAGATTAATGTAGCTTCCCTCACTGATCAACTGAGAAGCATGAACATTCAACCTCCTGTAGGAAGAGGTGGTCACATTAGCCCAATAGCCAGGAGTGGCTGACTTGACGAGCTATAAGTCAAGGAGAATAAGTGGTGGCAGACCCACCTTGTTATATTTTCGATTTTTATCTTTGATGACATTTCATATAACTTATTACTTCAAAATGCATTTTGATCTCTCCATTATTAATGGACAAACCACTAGTTCTAAAATATTTATTTTCTTTGTGATCATGTAAGGTAACGACGAATCTAGGATATGCCCGAAGAGATTGAAACTCCAACACAAAGACTCAAGGGTGTTGTCATAAGCACTACAAGCGTATGAATACATCAATCAAAATCCCATAATACAAAACACACACAAAAAGAAAGTGGCAAAAACCACTGAAAACAACAATTAAAAAATGAGGGTTGTTAATCTATGTAAATGGCGTTCCATATTTCACGCCTTAAAGATGACACGTGATTATAAATGCTCATATATAAATAGAAACCACGTTATTCTCAGGTACACAATTTCAAATTCAAACTTCTCTCACTCATCTCATTCAAATACCGACTTGAGTGTTGGAGTGCTAATCATACATGTCAGCACCTCTTTCACCACACTCGAAGTTCAAGTTTGTCGTTGTACGTAATAAGTACTATTCTCCGATTAGTTATGATTGCATAACGAAAAATACTATTACATGTGTGTGCATCAAATTACGAGCTAGTCTTGTATTGTCACATGACTAAATGCTCAAACACATATACAAAATTAAAAAATAACATTAAGGGTATGTTTGTGAGTTTGGAGAGAAAAGGAGGGGAGAACTTTGAAAAAAGGGAGAGATTGAGTGGAAAGAATTGAAGGATTTTGATTGGGAGGATTTTGGAGGGTTTGCTTTTATTCATAACACCAAAAATCCCTTAATTTGGGGGAACTCAAAATTTATATTTGTTGGGGGAGTTTACTAGGAACATTGATACAAAATTGAAGATTATGCACCTTTGTGAGAGACACACCACTTGTTCACCTAAAATCTTAAAGTGATAGGTGAATAGATTCTGCCATTTATATATTCCCAAATCACCACATTCCTATTTAATGTGATATTATATATTTAATTTGTGATCGTAAAAAACTTCTCCCAAAACAGACCTTTAACATTGCATTTTTTTCCACATTAAAACACATACATTTATGTATGTATAATAGAGCTAGATCTCTGACTCAATTCGATCTAAATGTTGAATTCATTTCATTACCTTACATTTCATGACACAATTGTATCATTTCTCCTAACTCTATCATTTTATTATTTTCAGTGCACAACCAAATATACACACTTAATATTCACATGAAAAGTTACAACTTATAAAGACGGATAGGAACTCCCTCAGCTGGGATAGGTACCAAAGCACCAGACACTTTCTCATCAAGAATCATAACATCCCATTTGAACTTTGTTACAAGATTGTGAATGAAAGTGAGAATCACAAATCGGGTATAGTCCTTTCCAGGACAAGATCTTGGTCCTGCTCCAAAGGGTATATAACAATATGGTGCATGCACATTATTCCCTTCAAATCTCGATGGATCAAAACTTTCCGGCTCATCAAAGCATATCGGATTCTTGTTTGTTCCAATAAATGCCCAAAATATCTGTTCAAGTAAAGTCCACAAATATTTTAGTAACAAATCTAATACTTGATTTTAATCATAAGCCAGACGTATAATTGAATGTGATTAATTGACAATGTAAAACTTTGTAAGTACCTTCCAACCTTTTGGAATTGTAAAGTCTTCATAGGTGATATTGGTTTTCGCCTCTCTGAATGCACCTGGTGCAGCTGAGTAGAGTCTCATGGTTTCTTGAGCAACAGCCCATGTATATTTCAGCTTCTGTATGCTCTCCTAATCTAGCATTGATGTGCCACTTCCTAGGAAGAATTGATAAGCTAATGAAATTGAAAAAGATTTCACCAAAGGGTACACTTTTAGTTCCGTTTTTCCTTCCCAATGTGTCATGAAATTTTTGTGTATGATTGATTCAATTTTATTATTGTTCTTCATGTATTTAACTATTCCTTCGGGCTTAAGAAACCCCAAGATTTTCATTGGAGCAGAAACTACAACTACTCGAGTTTGATTCTGATTCTGATTCTGATCGGGAAGATTGAATAACTTGCACTGAGTTTTCAAGTACCAAAATTTGATAAGTTTTGATTCATTCATTGACATGAATTTGATAGCATTAGGACCAAACATAACCACTGTTTTCTCTCCAAATAGCTTTGTTTTGAAAATCTCTGATGAGTACTTTTTTGATCTTTCTTGAAGGAAAATTTTCAATGTTTTTGAACAAAATTTGGTAACTTTCACCAATTAATGGCCAACCAAAAGTACCTGGTGGCAAGTTTTTTGTGCTAGTCTCTTTTCTTTTGTGGAAAACACAAGTAGATGCTATCAAGGTAATCAAAATTAGGAACAAAGATTGGAAAAAAATAATCATTTCAAACTACAGAAAAGTTCTATATTAAGGCCAAAGTATGCCACTCTACATCTTTTATATAGGCTATATGCCACTCTACATTTCTCTTTTAAGAAAAACATCTCTCTCAAATTTGCATTATACAATTTATTTAGAGTACTTATTTGGTTGAGTGGTTTCTTTCTTGCTATCTTATTTTTTTTCAATCATACTATGTCGTTTCAATAAACAAAGCTTCAATCATAGATTAGATTTTGGACAAACTAGACTCATGTGGGATTGTGGTCCATTGATCAATGTTTTAATGAAATCAATGTACTCTTGGAATATTTTATGTTATATTTTCAATATCATTATATATTGTATCAATCTTTCACTTGCAGCCAACGTTATCCAACACTTTCCAAATGACGAGACCTTTCAATATGACTGGTGACATCAATGACTGAAAAGAGTTGTGGAAGCTCGCTATAAAAATACATCATTTCAGGCAAATGGCAGAAGAATCTCCTAACTGGTTTTATTCATAATTATATCGTTTCCATTTTTCATTATTTCCTAGATTGTATGCTTCATTTTCCTAACTACCGATCTTTTTTGTTGGCGTCATCGGGGTGGTAGAGGAAATTGGATACTCCTAGTCGCAAATGGGGGGAATAAATCTCAAGTAAACTTCATCCTAAGAGATTTGGGGTATGCTTCTATGACTATCCAACTTTCATATAAATATATTATATGTTGTACGTTCTACGTTCATACACTAACTACCAATGTCTTACACTTTTAGCGAAAACACCTTGCATTGTACATTATGGGAAGGGTACGCAACACAATATTTTGAGTTCAAATAGAAACAACTTGATCCATCTGCACCAACTATTATACTCTTGAAGTATGCAAAAGTGAAAGAAGAAAGTTATTAATCTTTGCAACTCAATTTAATTTGGTTTACATTTGTAATTTACTTATCCGTGTTTCTGTTTTGGATTTCTGTAATCGCATTCTGTGTTTGCAGGGAAATTTTCCCTTGCTGTTACTAATACCTACAATGTTACCAAAATACACATCAATGAGGATATCCCGAAGATCAATGACTTTCATAAATGATACTTAACATATAATACGACTGCCTCATTAATAATCATTGTTGTTGTTTTTTTCATCAGTTTTTAAACAACATTTTTTTTGTGTTTGTTACACCTACAGTTTTTCAAAAGATTCTCATATGGGAAAATCACTAAGCAGCACTAGCAAGACCACGCACGAATGGTCACATCAATCTTCAGGGACTTACATATCCCCATTGATAAGTTTTTTTTTCAAAATTTGCCCACCTCCCACTTGATGAAATAGTCGTCTTAACCGAGGTTCATAACACCCAAATTTATTTATCTTTCACAATGATATCACGTGCTTTTATGTGAACTTTTCTTTATTTGGATATGTTGTGCAACCAACATTCTAGGTAACTGTTGCTACTACCGACAAACTCATTGCTAATCCAAATGGTTGGTACTACAAAGCATGCTAAAATGTCCTCAGGTTGCAAAGGGTGACAATCCACCTTTCTTTTGCAGGGATGTACACCGAAGTGAGGCTGAGATATGGAGGCTCACGTTTCATAGATTATGCCGCACATTTTTGTACTTTTTGACAAATTTATGATTCACCCATGATAGAGGTAACAACAACATCGTTTAATGTAATTTATTATGTTCACCCATGAAACACGTTATACATTATACTTTATTACCATTTCAAACATAGGCTGGAATAACTGACCCACTTGAGTTCCCTTGGCGTTGGATGCAATGTTAGGCTTGAAGTTTGCATTCAAGATTAAGTGGCACCCTCGATTGAGAAATGAATCTGTTGTCATATATATTAAAGACGAGCAACTCATCAATCAACTAGATATTAATGGAACAAATGACGCAACCACCCTCTATATGTGGAACAACTTCACTTTTGAGTTTATATTTTAGAGTTACCATTACTGATGTTCCTACATTGCATCGGCCAACTGTCATCATTGATGCCACGATCCAGTCAGTGTAGATATTTAATTTGAACTTAACTTGTGTTTAATGTTGGCAACCATTCACATCATTATTTTCCTACGTTTTACATTACTATACTGGATTGTTTCATCACATTCTAATCTAATTTGCTCCAGATCATAGAGAGTGTCGTCGAAGACGTCCCCTTTGAGAAATTAATTCCTCTAACGATAAATGAGTATTGCAACTAACATTAAATTTTTATGTTGCAAAAATAAACCACGATTCTAATGATATGTACTAACCGTCAAACAGGAAGGTGAAATCTCTTTTGCCCACAATTGTGATCCTGATTGTGTTGAGGAATCAATAGTATAAAATATATGGAGTCGATTACAGCTGTAATTATTTATCCATTATCATAATAATAAGTAAGGCAATGACTACAACTGCTTTTTGATTTATTATTATATTCGAACAAAATGATTTGTCTCCTAAACATCTACTACCCATCCTTTGTTATTTTGCTTCAGATTTTATATATTTCAAAGAAGACTACCATAACCAGCTGCATTCCAGTTTTCTGAAGGTACCTTCTATCAATTTTTCTATTGGTTGCGCATAACTATTACTTATGTTATTCTATGAATCCTTTTATAATGCAAAGTAATAACTGTAATTTGTTTAAAATTTTGTTGAGCTAACTCCCTTCTACATTGCTGAATACCCTACCCGTTTGCAATTGACAAATTTCGTAACAGATGTCTAATAGTGAAGAGTCACATGCTTGCATTGCAAGAAAGATGAGGAAATTGTTTAAAATGGACAAAAGACTTAACAACTCTATTTCCAACAAGGAGAATTTCAATTTTTAACACCCCAATTTAATTAGAATTGTTTTTAATTAAATAATTAGAGAATACCGTGTATTCTTATAAATTAGTTGGAATTATTTTATTTAATACTTGGATGACGTGATATATTTATATTAGTTGGTAAATTTTATGATGTGTTTATATCTGTTTTAATGGAATTATTGGAAGATTAGAAGTAGTGTTAATTGAAGAAGTAAAGGATATTAGGGGTGTGTGGCTAAAAGCGTAGAAACATGGGGTGAAGGGAGAATATTAGTGTTAATGGTATTATTATTATTATTATTATTATTATTATTATTATTATTATTATTATTATATTATTATAAGAGACAAATAATATTTTATAATATTAATAATTAAATAATTAAAATAAACTAGTAATAAGATGAGGGGTAAAGTTGCTATATTGGTATTAGGGAGAG